TTTTTTTGAGACTGAGTCTTGCTCTGTCACCCAGGCTAGAGCACAGTGGTGCGATCTTGGCTCAATGCCTCCTCCGCCTCCCAGGTTCAAGCGATCCTCCCGCCTCAGTCTCCCAAGTAGCTGGGATTACAGGTGCGCACCACCATGCCTGGGTAATTTCTGTATTTTTAGTAGAGACGGGGTTTCACCACGTTAGCCAGGCTGGTCTGAAACTCCCGACCTCAGGCAATCCGTCCACCTCGTCCTCCCAAAATGCATGCCCAGCCGGCCTCAGCATTTTAAGTTCAGCAAAGGTGTTTGCACGTATGGAGCATAAACTCTGAGAAAGCATTTTCCCTGCAAAAGCTAAGCTCAAAGAGATGAAGCAGCTTCCCCAAGGTCGCACAGCCAGAGTGGCAGGCCTTGATCAGACCAGGCCAAGGCTGAGCTGTTCACCAGAAGAAAACGGCTCAAAGCAGACAAGTCAGAAGTGAGAAGAAGATGACAAAGACTTGCAGAATGGCTTAAGAAGAAAAAGCAGGGTGACTTGGGACACAGAAAGCAGCCCGGAACCCACAAAGCAGAAAGTAGCTTCCTGGTTACCCAGAGCTAGGGACCCCACTGTGGGAGGAGCTAGAGGGCTCAGCCCAGGGACCCAGGCCTGCCCAGCACCCTCATCACCCTGCTGGACCCTGGCAAGGAAGGCGTCCCAGCATCTTCGCAGTGAGGATGATGGGTGAGGGCTTCCAACTTGGAGTACTAGACTCCCAGGTTCGAATCTCCCTTCTGCCACTTGCCAGCTGGTGATCTGGACAAAAAGATACCCCTTTGCTGGGCTTCTACTTTCTTCTTCAAAAACGGGATAATAATACCCTTTTCTCATGGAAGCTATTTGGAGGGCCAAGAAACTCTTGTAGGGTGCTGAGAAAACATGCCCAAAACACTAACATTAGCAGAACGGGACACAAGAGGGTTTCGGTTCCGGCTGTGCCTTGAATCTGCTCCGTGATACTGGGCAAGTCCCCGCCCACCGTGGTACTCAGCCTTCTTTCTCCTATCACCTGGAGGATCATCTTCCCAAGAGACAAGGAAGATGCTCATCTCCCTATGGTGCTTGCTGGGGTGCAGCTTTTTGTTTTTCTTTTTGAGTTTTGCTCGTTTCCCAGGCTGAAGTGCAGTGGCGCGATCTCGGCTCACTGCAACCTCCGCCTCCCGGGTTTTCAAGCGATTCTCCTGCCTCAGCCTCCCAAGTAGCTGGGATCACAGGCATGAGCCACCACGCAGGGCTAATTTTGTATTTTTAGTAGAGACGGGGTTTCTCCATGTTGGCCAGGCTGGCCTCGAACTTCTGAACTCAGGTGATCCACCCACCTCGGCCTCCCAAAGTGCTGGGATGACAGGCGTGAGCCACGACGCCCAGCAGATGTAGCTTTTTCTAGTACCAGATTTCCAACCTTGTGGCTGAATAGAAAGGTGAAAACCAGCCAGGGGAGTTTGCCCAGGTGCCCAATCATGGAGGCTGGGGGCATGGAGGGGACTTTTTGAGGGCGGTCTCGGGAGGAAGCAGGACTCCAGGGGAAGTTCCTTCTGGGTGCACTTACCTCCTCTGGGTTCTCTCATCTCTGGCCTCCAGCCCTTGTGCCTGTGTGCCAAGGCTGTCTGCTGGCAGAGCCCTAGAGAGGCGAAGGAGATACTGCATCAGGGACGGGCACCGTGGAGACAGGCCAAGCGCCTGGCCCCTTCAAAGAGGCAGAGTGAGGGTTCGGGCTCCCAAGAGCACCTGACAGTGACATTTGGGAGAAGAACTCTGGAATACAAGGGAGGCCACTTCGGCTCAAGATACCACAGCGGGAATCTCAACTTACCTGCTCCTACAGGGAATGAACTGGCTCACTTCTCAGGCAGAGAGGTGTGAGCTGAGTCTGAGCCAAGGCACTGCTGCCTTAGGGAGCCCCTGGTTTCTGCCAACAAGGCCTTTCCCCTCCTCCTGGCTTAGGGACGTTGGACTCCAGGAAAAGTAAATAGAAAAATAAGCAACAACCACCACCACTACCGCCTCCTGAGATGGCTGGGTACGGCTGATCAGGTTGTGGACTGCACAACTCCAAACGGTACCATAAACCCAGCCTACAGCGTATATGACGCTTCCCGGAATTGAACACGACCACCCTACCATCACCACCTAACGCTGATGAAATTACCAAATGCCTACCACACAAGCAGCCGTGTCATTTAAACCCCAATAAAAGGAAAGTATGATGATCCCAATTTTATAGATGAGAAAACATGACACCAAGAGCAAGAGCAACTTATCCAAGGAATGGATGGAAAGAGTTTCACCACCTGGATCTGTAAGACTTTCCTAACTCGTAATCTCCCACATCATAGGAACGAGGCTGTGTCCACGATAGGTCCTGGCATGTAGCCAGAACGAGGCCAAAGTGGAACCCAGGGGATCCTTGTAGCTTTAAGGCAGGGCATACGTATCTCCCAGTGCTGCGTCCTTATCATTCAGGGTAGGAAAGGTTTTTAGTCCAATTCCTACCTTCTCCCATTTTACAGATGAGACCGCTGAGGCCCACAAGGAGAAATCATTTTACAGAGTCACACACTGAGTCTGAAGCTAAGCCTTCCTCCTCTCAGTCCTGTTTCAGGAGGTGGGGGTGGCTTAGAATGTCGTTCTGCAGTTGACCAGCTCCTTGACTATATACACTGCTCCTCTGAGACTTTTCCTATTCTGTAAACAGGAGGTTTTAAGCAGGGTGAAAACACTTTAAAATCTCAGCTTTTTAAATCTCAGCCAGGCCTGGCGTGGTGGCTCACACCTGTGATCCCAGCACTTTGGGAGGCAGAGACAGCAGGGTCACTTGAGCCCAGAAGTTCGAGACCAGCCTAGGCAACACAGAGAGACCCTGTCTCTATAAAAATAAAAAATTATCCAGGTGATGGTACACGCCTGTAGTCCCAGCTACTTGGGAGGCTGGGGTGGGAGGATCGCTGAAGCCCAGGAGGTCGAGGCTGCAGCGAGCTGTGACTGTGCCACTGCACTACAGTCTGGGCAACAGAGCAAGACCGTGTCTCAGAGAAAGAAAAGAAAAAATCTCAGCGTTTATTATTTGTGCCATGATGAATACGCAGGCCGCAGGCTGCTGCCTGCATTTCGTGGTCCTCCATTCCTTCCTATTCACTCATTCCTTTGTCCCCATACCATTTTCCTATTCCTGAAATACCAGGCCAATTAGGACATCTAAACCCAGAGGAAGAAAGGTACCAAGGTGTAACCACAGCGACCAGACCCCCCAGCAGGCCACTCCCAAGTACGGATACTCAAGCCTCAGCACTCCTGGGACATGGGCGGCCAGTGAAGTGAGGCCTGCTCGCTTGGTATAAATAAAGCCAATTAGGAAGCAGGCACTTGAAGCTCTTCCAGAGGCAGGACGGCTCACCCAGCTGCCCTCAGGCAGCTCTTGAAATGCCAGCGAGCCCGAGAGGCCTGGCAGCCGGGCAGCTCCCAGGCCCATGACCCCAGCCACTCCCCTCCAGGGCACCCAGGCCTTTTCAGAGCGACGGGATGGCGCTGTCAGGGCTGTCAGTCACTTGGAGCTGTGCGTCCAACATGCAGCCATCAGCCACACGGAGCTGTTTAAACTCACTTTATGCAACATTAAATAAAATTAAAAATCCGGCTTCTCATCTGCACTAGCCACAAGTGCCCAGAAGCCACACGTGACCAGCGGCTACTGTATCGGACAGCGCACATTTAGAATAGGGTTGGCAAACTATGGCCCTTGGGCCCAATCCAACCCAGGGCCTATTTTCAAAGCGCCATTGAACTAAGAATAATTTGTAAATTTTATCAAGGGAAGGTAAAGGGTGAAGGAAGGAGGAAGAGGAGAGAGAGAGGGAGCAGCAGTGGCAACAAAAACCACCTGAACACCGCAAAGTTGGAAACATTTACTATCTGGGACATTTACAGAAATTTGCTGACCTTTGCACTAGAACATTCCCATCACTGTAGAGTGTTCTGCCGGGCAGTGCTGATGAGAGGACAAATGAGAGGGAGGGGTGCTCACCCCATCACCCAGGCTGGAGTACAATGTCGTGATCCAAGCTCACTGTCCGTCCCCTGGGTTCAAGCATTCCTCCTGCCTCAACCTCCCGAGAAGCTGGGATTACAGGTACGCACCACCATGCCCGGCTAATTTTTGTATCTTTAGTAGAGACGGGGTTTCACCATGCTGGCCAGGGTGGTCTTGAACTCGTGACCTCGTGATCTACCTGCCTTGGCCTCCCAAAGTGCTGGAATTACAGGCATGAGCCACCGTGCTGGGCCAGAGCTCTCCTTTCTTTTCTTTTTTTTTTTTTTTGGTGTCCAGTCCAGGCTAAAATGCAGTCATATGATCTTGGGTCACTGCAGCCTTGACTTCCTTGGGCTCAAGTGATCCTCCCATCTGAGCCTCCCAAGTATCCAGGACTACATGGATACCTGCGTGCTACCATGCCTGGCTAATATATGTATTTTTTTGTAGAGATGGAGTCCCCCTATGAGACTCCTGGGCTCAAGCAATCCTCTTACCTGTGCCTCCCAAAGTGCCAGGATTTCAATTTGGTGTGGGCCACTGCACCCACCTGAGGGGAGGGCAGGGGAGGGGAGAGGAAGGGAAGGGAAGGGAGGGGAAGGGAGGGCAGGGGAGGGGAGGAAGGAAGGACGGACAGACATCAGAGCATTTTGGATTAGGGATGCTGAACTGATCAGTATAATGCAAATATTCCAAACTCAGAAAAAAATCTAAGTCAGATGTGGTGGCTCAGGCCTGTAATCCCAGCACTTTGAGGGCTGAGGCAGGAGGATCACTTCAGCCCAGGAGTTCGAGACCAGCCTGGGTGACATAGGGAGACTCCGTCTCTACTTTTTTTTTTTAATTAGCCAGGTGTGGCAGTGCTTGCCCATAGTCTCAGCTAATTGAGATGCTGAGGCAGGAAAATCACTTGAACCCCGGAGGTTAAGGCTAAAGTGAGCCATGCTCATGCCGCTGTACTCCAGCCTGGCTGTCAGAGGGAGATGCTGCCTCTGAAGAAAAAAAAATCCAACCTTTCTGGTCCCAAGCATTTCAGATAAAGGGATACGCAACCCGTAACATCTCCTAGAAGGGCACTTTGAAATGTGCCTGGTGCAAATGAGAAAGCAGTCTTGTAGGAATGCTATGAGGTATAAATAAATGAGGGCATGTTAGAACAGCATCTGGCCCACAGCACGTGCTATTTGCATGCTGGCTCTTGTTTTCAGCAAAACCTTGTATGGTGGGGATTTTTATCCCCATCTGAGAAGTGAAGAAATTGAAGCTCCAAAAGATGGAGTGATTAGCAGAAGCCACACAACTAGGAAGAGGAAAGGACAGTTTCTAACTGCGGCTCTGTGTCCAAGGTGCCATCCCTGGCATGGTGTCCTGTGGCTTACAAAGCTGGGGCAGCAGCCAGGCACAGTGGCTCATGCCTGTAAACCCAGCACTTTTGGAGGCCGAGGCAGGCAGATCATGAGGTTAGGAGATCGAGACCATCCTAGCCAACACAGTGAAACTCCGTCTCTACTAAAATACAAAAAATTAGCCGGGCATGGTGGCGCACGCCTATAATCCCAGCTCTTCAGGAGGCTGAGACAGGGGAATCAGTGGAATCCGGGAGGCAGAGGTTGCAGTGAGCCGAGATCACACTACTGCACTCCAGCCTGGCGACAGAGCAAGACTCTGTCTCAAAAAAAAAAAAAAAAAAAAATCAGATTAAGCCAGAATCAGCTGGTCATTGGAAAGAGTGGGGTGTCATTTCGTCGGGTGCGGCGGCTCATGCCTGTAATCCCAGCACTTGGGAGGCCAAGGTGGGCAGATCACCAGGTCAGGAGATCAAGACCTACAGCCAATATGGTGAAACCCCATCTGTACTAAAAATACAAAAAAAAAAAAAAAAAATTTGCTAGGCATGGTGACACTTGCCTATAGTCCCAGCTACTTGGGAGGCTGAGGCAGGAGAATCGCTTGAATCCAGTAAGTGGAGGTTGCAACGAGCCGATCACACCACTGCACACCAGCCTGGGTGACAGAGAGTCCAACTAAAAAAAAGAAAAAAAAAAAGTGGGTGGGGGAAGCAGGAGTCCATGGGAGGGGACTTTGCTCCCTCTTTCCATTGACTCTGAAAGGCCCCTGGAAGGGTGGGGGCTGTTCAATCCAAGAGATCCCCCCTTAGACTCAGATCCATTCATTCCACCAATGTTTACTGAGCAAGTATCATGCGCAGGGCCCTGCTCAAGATACTAGGATACATCAAGGGCAACAGACAAAGGTCTCTGCCTTCATAGAGCTGACATTCCAGTGGGGAGCAAAGAAATCAGCGTGTGAGACAGACATTGGTGATAAAGGCTCAGAAGGAAATTCGCATGATGAGAGGTGAAGGCATTCCACAGGGGCTAAAGAAGGGGGTGACGTTTGCACTGAGACCACACTGATTCTTGGCTCAAATCTATACGAACTTTCTAAATCATCATTTCTCCAAGCTCAGCGGATCAGGAGGTTCCCAAGAGAAAAGTGGCAGGGGACAGGGAGGGGACAACAGCGGGGGCTGGCAGCACACAAAGCCAGCTCGGGAGGTCACAGCACTTACAGAGTGGCCTTGGAGCAGGGCC